TGTCACGGTCTGTCTGTGTTAAGGTGTGTGTCTGTCATGGTATATGTGTGTCTCTGTCATGGTGTGTGTGTGTTTCTGTCTGTGTCATGGTGTGTGTGTGTTTCTGTCTGTGTCATGGTGTGTGTGTGTCTGTGTCATGGTCTGTCTGTGTCATGGTGTGTGTCTGTCATGGTATGTGTGTGTATGTGTGTTTTTACTCACCTGTTTTTTCCCCCCACGTTGTGCTGGTCTCTCCTCGACTGGCCCTGCCTCTACGGCTGAGATCATCAAGCTTGATGATCTCAGCCAATCCGCACTGACACAAGAAGCACCTCTAGTGACCGTCTGAGTGTCTGTCACTAGGAAGCAATGTAAACACTGCCTTTTCTCTAAAAAGTCAGTGTTTACATTAAAAAGCCTGCAGGGACAGGCTATAGACACCAGAGCCACTACATTAAGCTGTGTGTGTGCGCGCCTGCTAGTGAGTGGGCTTGCTTGTGTGTGTGTGTGCCTGCTACTGAGTGAGCTTGTGTTTTTATGTCAATGACCTTATGTATATCAGTGAGATTGTTTGTCTATGAGGCTGTGTATCAATCATTTTGTGTCAGTGAGATGGTCTGTGTCTGCATGTGAGTATGCTTACGGTATAATTAAAAATTTTACTCTGAAAGGACCAATATTTTATATTAGAAAAAGATAGATATATATATATATATATATATATATATATATATAGCAAATTGCAAATATATATATATATATATATATATATATATCATCTAAAGTGGCAAGACATAGCCTTACATATTACATGCGACAATATATGGCGCAATGACTTATGAGGCTGGCATAGATTTTTTTTCCAGGGCTGCTTTGGAATCCCCAGTCCGGCCCTGGTATTAATCAATCATTAGAAGAGTTGGTGTAAAGATTATTTCACAGTGCTATGAAGAGTATAGAAGTGACACAATATATTCTTTGCAATGTCAAAAGAGTGAGGATAGAGTTACTGAGTTAGAGTCTTTCATTGTAACTTGGATTATTGTCCACAAGTGGGTATAGTGGGCAATAGCTAATAATGCGTTCATGCTAACACAGCACACTTTGTAAAGTCAGCACTGAGGGTCACTGGGAAGAAGGGGTGAGCTAATGGGTGTACACAGTGGGTAGTGCACCCAGAGTGACCCCTTTGAGGGCATATGTACTCTGTCAGCAACTCTTGTGATTTTTCTCTATGGTCAAGCACCAAACTAGTTTATTTACACGGTGCGTGGCTAAAACATGAACCCACCTTATCTATCGCACCAGCAACTCTTATCAGCCCTCAATTAGTTACATTCACCTGTCATGCATCCTGTTACCATTACTAAGCAACATTCACCCAGCCACACATTCTGACACATACATCCACTCACCTAGTCACATTCACACCACCTGCTGAATTCCATTAATTTACCAACCCAGTCATATTCATTCTTCCATTCACATAGAACACTCAACCTTTCACATCTTACTCATAACAAATATCCCTGTTCACATACTACTACCTACCTAGTCACTTATACCTACCAACTCACCCAGTCACATCCCACACCTAGCAACCTATTTATCCTCCAAACAATAAAATTCACCTAACCACTTACCAACCACTGCCTACATATATTATGCAAATTATGCTCACTCACACACACATTATATACAGGCCGTTAAAGGACCACTATAGGCACCCAGACCACTTCAGCTGTATGAAGTGGTCTGGGTGCCAGGTCCATCTAGGATTAACTCTGCCTGCTGTAAACATAGCAGTTTCAGTTTCAGCACTGCTATGTTTACAAATGGGTTAATCCAGCCTCTAGTGGCTGTCTCATTGACAGCCGCTAGAGGCGCTTCCGCTCTTCTCACTGTGATTTTCACAGTGAGAAGATGCCAGTGTCCATAGGAAAGCATTGAGAATGCTTTCCCATGAGACTTTCTGAATGCGCGTGCAGCTCTTGCCGCGCATGCGCATTCAGCCGATGACGTCAGAAGAGGGAGGAGAGTCCCCAGCGCCGCAGGAGTCCGGCGCTGGAAAAAGACAGGAATTTAACCCCTTCCTCTCCCTAGAGCCCGGCGGGAGGGGGGCCCAGAGGGTGAGGGGGACCCAAGGACACTATAGAACCAGGAAAACAAGTATGTTTTCCTGGCACTATCGTGGTCCTTTAACCCCTTAAGGACACATGACATGTGTGACATGTCATGATTCCCTTTTATTCCAGAAGTTTGGTCCTTAAGGGGTTAAACACACATTACATATAGCTACACATACACAAATTACATATACAGCCACATATATACATTTGTAAGGAATGTGCATGTTTAGGAATTGGAAAAGGAAAGTGTGTTCCACAAATACTTGCAGTGCTATAAATAATCATCTCTACTAGGATTACATTTCCCTGGATGTTTGAGGCAGTTTCTAGTGATGCTCTAAATTGTGAAAGGAGTGGGGAATAAAAAAGGACAGACCTCTCAAGGTAGAGGAACGAGATGCGTAAATAGAAGAGCGATTTAACCACATCCATATATGACATTGGAAAATCCTGCACTTAGGTGTCAGTCTGTGACACTTGGCTCACCCTTGCAGGGACGAGCGATCCTTAACATGTTAAAGGGAAACTGTCACTTTCTCTATACTGACTGCCAAGTGCAAAATATAGAGCTTATAATAATGATTGACAGGGAGCTTAGATGGAGGCAATCAGTTAGAGGGTAGAGGTGTAGATCTCTGTATTTAATGTTATTTTTCACACCTCACATACATATATATATATTTTAAATATTGGGATAAGCAAACATAATATTAAAAATCCTAGGAAGTAGGATTGCCAGAATGCAACACTTAGATCTGACAGAGGTGCATGTCTTGAAATCACATATTGTAGACAAGAACACACATATGACCAGTCGCCCTGTGAAATCCTATAGACAGGAGCATCTGTTGTTCAGTGTCATGATGTGTAGCGTGTAAGACATCTAGAATCTTGGTAGTATTTTCTTTGGCTTCCTGACAAGGTACAAACCCTGCCCAGTCTGGAAAACCCTAAGAGAAAATATGTCACTTATGTCAACTCAAGTATTTTTATGTCTAAATTGAGAATGAAACATGTATGTAACTTTTAAACATAAATGTCCTTCTTTGTGTTTTACTTGTAGCTTATATATGTATATTTAGGTGAATAAATGTACCATTGATGAATGTTATTTTTGCCATTAAAGTATCTGGACAGAATATCATGTTGTTGTTTTTTTAAAAATTTTTTTTATATATATATATATATATATAATATACATGTATTAAATATAATAGAATATTTATGTTGTATAAGTTGTATTGCAAGGTATAGAAATCCTCGAAATCTTTGCTCAGAGCAGATCAACTAACTTCATATGGTGATAGGGACATGTATAAGTCGAGAATTTTTGATTTTTGGTTTTAGTACAAGCTGGTGACTTCTTACTGTGCTCACAAAAGTATTTTTTAGTTTTGCCTTTTTTTTTTCTCCAATTCTACCACTTAGCAGTTATAACTTAGTGTGGCCTAATACACATGCGGTGTCTGAATATGTTTATAAAGATTGCAACGGGGACATTAAAGCAGTAATACTTACTGCTCGACTGGGTATACTATCGAACAGGGTATACTATCATAACCTATCTGTTTCTCTCTTCTCTTATCTGTGCCTTCAGGTAGACTACGCAAGCAATATACGACTGGCTTTGTTGTTTTATGGATGTATTGTTTTGGTCTCTAATCACTTGCCTAATAGCTGGTGTGTTCACTATACTAGCTTAGTATCACTGTAAATCTTCATCTAGTTTTCACGATACATAGATGACATTGTCCTTCTGTAAAGTTCAGATGTGTCGTTTTTTTCCATGACAGGTGTGCCTTTAAGCTGTTTTGTAGAGCTTCCTGCATCTATGCACTAATATGCCTCAAGCAGTAGTTCAGGTGTGTCATTTTTGGCATGACAGGCACTCTTTTAGCTGTTCTGTAGAGCGTCCTGCAACTACGCACTAATAGGCCTCAACAGTTTCAGCCTGCTGGAATGGTTTGTGATTGATTGTCACATGCTGATTACACACAGGTAAGTATCAAATGCATTGTAAACCACTATAGCAAATTGTATAGAGCATAATACGTTACAGCAGGTCAGGTGACTGCCTATTCACATAAATATTAAACATGGCTTAATTGTTATTTCAGCTGTGCGGTTAACAAGTTAGTGCTAGTGAAACTGATCCTCTGGACATACTTTTTCAGTCCCAATGTAGTGCCACTCTGTCATTTGCAACTTGATAGTTTGGCACATAATGCTAATATAAATTCTAATATGTCCAATTTGCTGTGCCAGGAAACATTAGTATTCACAAATGTGATGTAAGTGGCATACCTAAAGCTGATCCGCTAGCAACAGAAAATCCTTTAAGCTCTGTAAACATTTTAACAACTGTTTGTTTAGTCCTCATCCACCATGGTATCAACACTAAATCAAAGAGTTTGGTTACCATAATACACGTAAACATTGATTTCTCATACTCATATAACTGTGATATAATGACCTCCATACATCCCTTTCCCCATTTAATGTATTCATGGTTAATGTAGTAACAGACTTCAATTTGAAGGTGGGACGATTACTTTATCTAACTGGGGCTCCCAGCTTAACCTGACTTGTAGGATTATCCTGCCAATTAGTTTATTATTTGGTGGAAGACGATATGACCTTGCAACGTCAGCAAAAAGACTGCAGAAGGAATGAGCACAGAGGGTTGTAAATTATCTGTAACAAGAGAAAGGGACTGCATGTGAATGCGAATTAGTTAGATGCATCACTTCCACTCCTTTCTTAGAGGACACTCATGTTGGTCCATGTTGTATTTCTAAGAGCACAAGAAAGCCATCAAAGATGTTACTTACATTAGACGGCGTAAGAGAAAGCAAGATGATAATAAAGTACCAATTCAGATAGTTATCTACTAAGCTGCTGATTTCTTAATTTTGATCTATCAACTGTTTAGTAGACAGCTCCCTAATTTGCTGTCCTTACGTGGGATTGTCATATTTAAAAATAACAAATAAGGGAGTTATCTGCTAAACAGTGCCATAATTTGGTATCTTTAAATATGACAATCCCACATTAGGGTACCAGTTTTATTTAGGAAGGTATCAACTAAACAGCTGAAATATCAAAATTAAGAACAGCCCTTGTCTTTATTTTGTTCTGTCAGTTGTTTAGTAGATACCTCCCTAATATGCTGTACTTAAAGGGGCACTATAGTCACCAAAACCACTACAGCTTAATCTATATATATAATGTATATATATGTTCCTGCAGGCTGGGTACTATAAACACTACTCTTTAGAGAAAAGGCAGTGTTTACATTTGCTGCCTATCAACACCTCTATTGTCAATCACTTGTGCTTCCTAGTCCAGTGCTGCATACAGGGCATGGAGACACTGAACGTTCCCCATAGAGATGCACTGATTTAACACATCTCTATGAAGAGATGCTGATTGGTGCAGCACATCGTTTTGTCGCTCATGCTCAATAGATTCACAATAATTTCCTATGGGAAAGCATTGGATTGGCTTAGATCATCATGATTGATTATCTGCATGGATTGATTGTGCATTAATTGCTTTGCAGACAAGCTTAAAATATGTACATTTAAACATTTTTTATTTTTCACTTATTCATTAGTTTTGGAAATTAAAAGCTTTAAACATTATACAGTAACTGGTATCTTATTTCACACAGATCTGAAATGTAAGTATAAAAGCAAAAATGCAATTTTTCTCACATTAGGTAGGTATGGCAAATATTTGCCCCTTACACAAGTATTAAGGCCATTTGGCCTGTAATTGTGGGAGGGGCTTAAATTAAATTACTTCCCTATATAAGGTACACCCCTTACCTGACTCCATACCGATCAAGGTCAGCATCTGAATGACCCTCCCATCCACTCCTCATTCAACACTTTCTTTTTCCTTCTATTTTCTTTACTTTCATTACTCCTTGGTGGGCCCTCTTTATTTACAGGCCTACCGTATTGTCAGTATCTGCACACCCAAACCGACTTTGCTCTTTTTATACTATCCTACGTTCTTACTTGAACCCTACTCCATATACAGCTATTTGCCCCTTACACAAATATATATATATATATATATATATATATATAAAAATAAATATATATATATAGTCAAAACCTTTGCATATAGGTATTTGCAAGGACCCCTAGGGACATTGAAACTTCCTGTCAGTTCTAATTAGATGTTTTATACTGTTATGATTCAACTAAAAACTATGGTGTATATATGTTTGTTTTTTTTGTTTTTTTTGTGAATATGATTTTTATTCATTTTGCGTATATTAATGTTCAGTGAGACGCGCAGGTCTCCATTGCATGCTATTATAAAAGGTAACAAGTTAGGCTCGCAGGCCCCATCACAGAAGGACTCGCAGGTCCCCATTTTCTGGTATTTACATTTGTTTGGGAATATAAGTTAAATAACGTTTTCATGAACTGGGTGAACATAATGCTTTGTAATCGTCCTTGAACCGGATTAATCAGTCTTTGATTAGGTGTCAGTGTTTGTAGGCTACCCCTATGGCCCCTGTCAACGGCGTCTCACAGGGCCCTGTGTCCTTAGCTATGTGGCATCGTCCGTGGTGGACTTGTGTTGTCCCCCGTTATTACTATCGGTGTTTCCCGTGTTTAACCAGGGGTATGGTGGTATTGCGGGTAGAGGGTACCCTTACCTTGGGTGTGTGGATACTGCATTAGCCGTGTCATTGCTGGGCCTATCCAGGGTTACCTCAGGTATTCGCATGTTTTGGCTTTGGGGTGACGTCCCGGGCTGGTCTGGATGTATGTACCAGCTTGTGTTTGTTGATCGTTCCTAATTATGGTTTCCCTTGTCGCTATGGGTGTGGTGGGGATGATTCAGTCAATGATGATGCTCGGGTATTTCGAAGGGGGCAAGAGGGGGGGAATGCGTCTGGGTGGGAAGAAAGGAAGAAGGGGGGGGGGTAGTTCCGTCCAGTTCGTCTGTCGGCCATCTAGCGTCGTCTGGGGTGTGTGTTCTGAGTACTATCTGTCTGTGTCGTGGTTTCCGTTAGTGTTAGGCCTGAGTTCTAATTGGAACTCTTCTTTTGCCGTCTCTAGAATCCAGTGCGTCCAGATGCTCATGTAGGTAGTGGGTGTACTGTTGGCCGTCATGGTCAGTTCCTCTATCGACCTTAGTTCTTCCATTTGGCTAAACCAGGTCGAAAGTGATGGTGTAACTGTTTGTTTCCAGAATTGGGGGAGCACTCGTTTGGCCACGTTAAGTATTCTAATGGTCATGGATTTTTTGTATTTGGAGTGGGGAACTGTTGTGTGGTGTAGGAGCATCGCTGCCGGTTCCGAGGGGGGGCGCGTCCGCGAACTTCTCTAGCATTTTGTGTATCCTCTTCCAGTATGGTTGGATCAACGCGCAATCCCACCAGATGTGTTTCGTGGTGCCTACCTCTCGTTCACTTCTCCAGCAGAGTCTGGAGTGGTCTGGGTTTACGTGGTGAAGGAGATGTGGTGTCCTATACCAATGTGTTAGAAGCTTGTAGGCCGTTTCCTGTGTTTTGCTGTGAATGGAACAGTGGTGTGTAAGGTAGCAGACGCTTTCCCATTCTGCTTCTGTTAGTGTGTTACCCAGGGCTGTCTCCCATTTTCCCATGAAGAGTGGTGTCTCGGACGGGGTTTCTGATTGGTGCATGGAATAAATGATGGACACTCCGTATGGGAGCGGGTCTGGGTGTGAGCTGACCACTTCTATCGTGGTCTGGTCTCTGGCCAGTGCTGGTCCCTGCGGCAGGGAGTGGACGTAATTGGTCAGTTGGGCATGTCGGAAGCGGTGCATAAAGGTCAGGGGCGTCTCTCCCATCAAGTCCGTTAGTGTTGTACATTTCCCACCTTGGAGGAAGTGGTGTAGGCGTGGGGTTCTGTCTGGGAGGATGTGTTTGAGGATTCCAGGGTCCAGACCCGGCGGGAAGTCCTCGTTGTGTGTCAGGGGCAGGAGCAGGGGGGAGGGGTACGGTGCCATATTCCCCTTCTTTGCGGCCTTCCTCCAAACTCTCATAGTGTGTCTCGTGTATATGGACATGTCACCTCTATCGGTTGTGTCTCGGCCCCAGGGAAGGCCCGAGATCGGTCTGCCTGCTTCTGCCTCTTCCACTGTCTTCCATAGTTTGTGAACTCCGTCTTTAGACCACTCCATGATTCTCTGCAGGTGTGTGGCCACGTAGTACTGGTGGAAGTCTGGGAGGGCTAGTCCCCCTTTGTCTTTAGGACGTGTCAGTGTGGAAAATTTCACTCTGGGCCTCCCCCCGTTCCATACGTATTTTATCATTTCTTTTCTGAGTGTGTTAAAGAAGGGGCCTGGTATGACAGTGGGGATGGCCTGGAAGAGGTATAAGAGGCGCGGAAGGAAGTTCATTTTTATGACCTGCACTCTCCCGAGCCACGATATGTGCGGGTAGGACCATTCCCTCAAGTCTCGTTGGAACGTGTGCAGTATAGTGGCGAAGTTGTCCCTATACAGGTCTCTGCTCTGCTTGGTCAGCCATACACCTAAGTATCTAATTTTTTGTTCGGCCCATAGAAAGGGGAAGCTGCGTCGTAGCGGGTCTGCGTGTGTGGCGGGGACGCTAACATTAAGGATGTAGGATTTGCCGTAGTTAATTTTAAGGTTAGATATAGCGCCAAATGTCCGCAGGTCTTTCTGGATGTTTGGAAGGGTGATCTCGGGGTTGGTCACCACAAAAAGTAAGTCATCCGCGTACGCCGCTACCTTGTGGTGTATTTGGCCTGTCGTCCGGCCCGTTATGTCTGGGTTGTGGCGGATGTGTGTGAGGAATGGTTCCAGGGCGAGAGCGAACAGAAGCGGCGAGAGGGGGCACCCCTGTCGCGTGCCGTTGTGTATGGTAAAGGTCTCAGTCAGCGCCCCGTTAACTAACACCTGGGCCGTCGGTGCTCGGTATAGCGCCTCTATCCAACGTCTAATGTGGGGACCCAGCCCCATGTGGGATAGCTGTCAGGAAAGTGACAGGGATCCAATACGCAGAGTGCGCACAGAATGAGGTACGTATACCGGACCTTAGAATGGCCGGACTAACGTAAGGACAAAGCAAGAATAGTCAAAAGGTAAGCCGAGGTCAAGGGAGCCGGAGGACAGGTAAGCGAGATACAAGCCAAGCCAAAGGAGAGGAGAGGACAACAGGACAAAAGACAAGCAAGGGTCAAAACCGGAAACACAAGATAAAGAACGCGCTGAGTGACTAGCAAGCTAGAACCACGACAGGGCAATGAGCAGTAGTAAAGGCTTCCTTTAAATACCCTGTTACCTAAATAGAGACCACGCCCCCAAAAGGTCCGGAATAGCGGTTCCCGGCACTTTATGCAAATGCCGACGTCATGACGTCGACGCTAGGCCGCGTCATAAAAGGGGGAGGAGCTAGCGCGGCCGGCGCGAAAACGGCCGGAATATGCCGAAATGCTAGGCAGGGAGGCCCTAAGCAGAGAGGATGTCCCCTGATACATCACCAACAGGTACCAGCGCCCTAAGAGGAAGTCCAGTTTCACTTATCGAAGGCCTCTCTGCGCCCGCGGACAAGCAGGAGGCCTCCGGCCCCAGGCCCCTCACCTCCGCGGCATAAGTGTGAGCGCTCTTATGGTGTTGTCGCGCGCCTCGCGTCCTGTCACAAATCCCACCTGGTCGGGGTGGACCAGAGATGGGATATGTTTGGTGAGGCGCACCGCCAGGATCTTGGCTAGTAGCTTAATGTCGCAATTGATTAGCGATATTGGTCTGTAATTCCCGCAATGCTCTCTGTCTTTGCCGTCCTTGGGTATGATGGTGATATGGGCTGTCAGGGCTTGGGTAGGGATGTGGTCTCCTTCTCGTATCGCGTTAAATGCTTCCACCATGGGTGGGTAAAGATCGTCGGCGTAAGTCTTATAGTATTTTACCGGTAAGCCATCCGGCCCCGGGCTTTTGCCCGGTTTAGTGAGTTTGACTGCTCGCTCTAATTCCTCAACGGTTATGGGTTCGTCAACCAGGTCAGCGACTTCTACGTCTAGGGTCGGTATCGGGTATTTAGTCAGGTATTCCTGAATCGAGCGGTGAAGGTGTGCCTTAGCCAGTTCGGTTGTCGGTTGTGGGAGTTCG